AGGTGTGCGGGGTCTGCGGGTCGACGGGCTGCCGCCGCTGCCCAAGAGCCTCAGCGGGCTGCTCCACTCGGCGTCGGGCGGCGGCGCCCCGGGAGGCTGGCGGCATCTGGAGCGGCTGTACGCGCAGAAGTCGCGCATCCAGGACGAGCTGAGCCGCGGGGGCGCTGCCGCGCGCGTCCCGGCCACGCTGGCCAAGCCCCCCAACTTGGACGCGGCCCTGGCGCTGCTGCGCAAGGAGATGGTAAGTGGGGTTCCGCGGCCCGCCCCTTGGCGTCGGGGCGCCCCACACCGGCACGTTGGAGGTCGCCAAAGCCGAGACCCCGAGTTGCCCGCGCTGGCAGTTTTACACCCACCCGCCCACTTCCTGCCAGCTTTGCCCCAGGCGCCTTTTGTTTGCCCTCGGTGTCCTTGCCTGGACTCTGACCTGGAGAGGGTCTCCCTATTCTGAGGTCCGCTTTTTAGGGGCAGCGAAGCCTTGGCTGCCGGAGGCGCGGTTTGGGGTTCGTGCCTCTCTGCACCCCAGGAGAGACTTTCACTTCTCCCGGGGAGTTACGGATTGCGCACGCTGGTGTTTTCCTTCTTAGAAGGGGTCACTTTTTTGTCTGCTGCTGGTGTGAACCACAGATTGGAGCGAGCCCCGCCCCCGCCCTCCCTCCACCCCATCCCACCCCTACCCCGTCACCCTTCCCCAGCACACTTTCAGGTCGAGTTTTCAGAATCCGATGACCTCTCCGGTGGCTCTGGCCCCACAGATGGCTGCGAAAGCGGGGCGCGCTAGGCGGCCCCAACCCTCAAAGTCCTGTAAAAGGCAAAATCCCCAAACCCACTTGAAACTGCTGGGCATGAGGTAGCCCTGAATTGTGTGTGGGATCCAGTCCTTAGGGTTTGGTTTCTCGCAGGCCTGCGGAAGTACGCACTTTTTTGGTGAATCCCCAGCTTCCACTCGCTTGCTTAACCTGATCTTTTCTCTAAGTAGAGGACGGTAAAACCTTCTTCCTAACCCTCTTGCTTACCCTGACCATCTCTATGCCACCTCCCCTTCTTCTTTAAATCCTATTTAATTTGTTGTTGAGAACAGAGCAACAAAATATGTACCATCTCAACAGTTGCTGCACTTACAATTTAGTGCCATTGATTACTTTCTCACGGTCCTTTTCTGAGTTCCTCCTTCATTAACCTCAGCTCCCTGCCCACTAAGGTTCTTATCTAATCTTTTCAGATTCTGTTGTCAATTTGGTCCAGTGTAGATCTTCAAAGGGCATTGTGCTCAAAGCAGACATTCTTTACTCAGCTAAACTATTTGACTCTAAGACGATTTAGTTATTTTTGGATTCAAGTTTAAAGATGATCTCAGGGCAATAATTGCAGGGATTCATATAGCCTCTATTGCTCCAATAGATGAGTCATGAGGGTTTGAACGTCTGTTCTGTATTTTGCCCCATGGAGTCTTCGGTAAAAAATGTTCAGGAATGGAAGCAGGGCACCATCCACTTCTGGTCTCATGGCACACGAGGCAATTAACTACACGTTCCATATGTTCCTCCTATTCCTGACTTTCCCCAAGTCCATGGAGACCACTTAGGTGTCCACTTGTAAACGTTTACAGCAAACTAGTAAATAGAACAGAAGCATTAACACACAGTTAGGCTCATTTACTGTAATGTCTCATGAAACTATCGGCAGGTATGCATTGCGCTGTGGACTGAAAGTTCAATGGCGCGACAGTCGCTCCTTAGGAGAAAGGTGAGGCTGTCTGCTCCTGCAAGGAGTTAACTACGGAAAGCGTCAGCTCTGCTCTTTCTGGGAGAGGGTCAACTCATTGGCAGTGAGTTTAAGTTTTTGTTTGTTTGGTAAATGTGTCTATCACAGTTTAATGTATAACCTAGTGACAGCAATTGCAACAATAGGCTGTGTAAACTTACCCTTATTTTGTTCCATATTTTCATCGCTGTTAAATACCCCCCACCCCCACCCCCCAACCCCTTCTCTCCTGCCTATGGTAACCACTAATAAACTTTGGTCTCCATACATGTGCCTTTTCTTATCTTTTTCTGTAAGTGCAGACATACCATATTTATTCTTTTGCGATTGGCTTATTAGGTCAGCATGTCTTTAACTTCCAATCTAGTGTTTCCCAAAGTGGGCAATACCGTCCCCTGGAGGGGACACTGGAACAATCAGGAGGTGCTGGGAAAGTACAAGTTTTGATTGAAGGGATGAGGGTGGTGTGGGCATGAGTAATTTTTTTTTTTTCTTTCTGAAAAGGATTGATAGACCAGATAAGTCTGGGAACCTTTGCTCCAATTGTTCTTGTAACATGCATCCAGACTAAATTTCTCCTACTGCTTGAGTCCTATTCCATTGTATTATGTATCCCATTTTGTTTAGTCATCCATCTACTGGTGGGCATTTATACTGTTCCCAGCTTTGGGCTGTTGTGAAGGATGCATCAGTAAACATTGGGTTTTAGTTTTTTGGAGGACCTGCCATGCTGGTTTCCATAACAGCTGCGCTATTTTGCTTTCTCACTAGGAATAGATAAGGATTCCAATTTTCCCACTCCATCCAATATTTGTTATTCTCTGGTTTGTTTTCCTTTGTTGTTTTTTTCCCCCTTCATCTTAGCCGTTTTAGTGGGAGTGAAATGCTCTCTTTTCCTTATTTTCCTTATTTTTCTCAGTGGTCCCAGCAGCTGACCACTGCCACTGGCACAGTCCCAGGGCAAGGATGCAACTGTGAGTTTTCTCTCAGCACCAGCTACTAGGTCCTGGCCCCACCGCCTGGGGTGGACTTTTGCAAGTGCCAGGAAATGCTCTTTTTCATCTCTTTGATAACTGGTGACCTTTAGTATCTTCCTGAGTTTGGTGGCCATTTGAATGTAGATACTTCTGGGTGAAATGTCAGTTCAAGCCCTTTGCTCATTTTGATTGAGTTGTTTGTCACTTTGTTAAGTTGTAGAACTTTTGTGTGTATTTTGATTTTTAGTGCTCATCACATGTATAGTTTCCAGAAATATTCACCCAGTTGGTAGTTAGCCTTTTCACTCTTTTTTGTGTGTAGCTTTTTGGTGAACAAAACGAATGCTTATGGCCCCATGTTTTATTTGTCTCTGCCTTTTGTGCTTTTATTAAATTAGATACTCTGTTGCTAAAAGCTAAGCCTGACAGCATTAACCTAAGAATTTCATCATTTTAATTTGCACATTTAAGTCGTTAATCCATTTTGAATTTGCTTTTGCATTTGGTGTGGGGCAAGGATACGTTTTCATTTTTCATCATGTGAATGGATATCCAATTTCCTAGCACTTTATTGAAGACTCTTCTTCCCCATTGAATGGGCATTGTATCCATATCCCAAACCAGTTGATCATAATAGATGTGTGAGTTTACACCCTCACTCCCATTTAAACACCTGTTTTTTTTCATCTGGTCCCGGTCTGGCACACCCTAATACATGTACATCCCAGTGGCTCTGTGGACAAGGCAGAAGAAAGATGAGGCTGTCTGCTCCCATCAAGATTGAGTCTCGGAATCCCTATTTCGGGCTTACATGATTGGGAATTGACTTGATGGCAGTGGGTTTGTTTTGGTTTAATATAGGAAAGCTGAGTTTCTTTAAGAATAAATTCACAAAAAGGTTTATCTTCAGGATCATTGAAGTCTGCATTTAGAGCATTTAGGATTGCTTGTAAAAATTCCACTTAAGTATACTTTTGGGGAGCACAAATAATCAACCTGTTTTAAAAATTAAATTTTCATTGAAAACAGTCCTAACATTTTAAAATCATTTAGATATTGTTTTTCCAACCTGTAGCTGGCATTGGAAGCAATTTCTAATTCTTTCTGGTAGGATTTTCAAAGTGTTTAACTGAACCACATAAATTCCAAGCCAATTTTTAAAACGTATGCCATCTAGTCATTCCGACTCATAGGAAACATTAATTGACAACAGTGTGTACAGCAGATGGACTGCATTTTAATTAGCTGGATCTACAATGAGCATGTTTGCAGTCTGCACTTGGACGTGGCATAAACATGGAGGAGAAAAAGGAAGGGACCCCTCCTCCTTCCCCAGTGATTAAGTTCCTTACCTGAACAGCAGCAGCAATAACAACAACAACAGGAAATCCTCAGAGCCTTTCTTATTGTGAAGCTCTAGGTGATAGCATGACTCTGGAGTTTTGCTGTGGTGGCTTGGGATTCCATGTAGCATTACCGAAAGTGTTTTTCCAGGCCCCTCCTGGTGTGATTCAAATACAACCATAACCTTATAATTATGCCTTGGAGCAGAGCTCTCTCTAAACCTGACTGATTATTTGAAGCACACAGAAAATAAACATCTGTCTTTGGTCTGCCTGATATTTAGCTGAGATAACGGTAACCATAGGAATGGCTACCGGCCTCAACAAAGTCATTTTCAAGATAGGTCACACGTTCTGTAAAAGCGTGCTGGCTTTTGGGGTTTTTAAAAATGTGTTTTGCTCTGAGTGGGAACTGATTGGGAAGTTCCCAAGAACAAGGGCAAAAGAAGATCAGGCGGTTCATTTCTGAATGATTTCTGGACAAGCATGTGTAGACGATCAATTTAAGTTGAAGACCTGGAGGTCAGATCTGTTACAAGGGAAATAGCTAAGCTGGTCATGGCAGCATAGGACAAATACTTTAGAAGAGTCCCCATAAAGAACGAGAGAGAGAGAGAGAGAGAGATGACAATTTTTTAAATACTTTTATTGGGGGTTGCTACATCTCTTATCACAATCCATACATTCCTCCATTGTGTCAAGCACACTTGTACATATGCCGCCATCATCATCATTTTCAAAGCATTCTCTTCCCACTTGAGCCCCTGATATCAGCTCCCCATTTCTTCCCCCGCCCTCCCCCACCTGCCCTCTCTCATGAACCCTTGATAAGTTATAGATTATTTTTCCCGTATCATACATCGTCCTTCGTCTTCCCTTATCCACTTTTCCATTATTCCTCCCCCTGGGAGAGGGGGTTCTAGGTTGATCCTTGTGATTGATTCCCCCTTACTCCCCCCCCCCTCCCCTAATCCCCTGGTATCTTTACTCTTCTTGTTGTCCTTGAGGGGTTTATCTGTCCTGAATTCCTTGTGTTTCGGGCTGTTATCTGTAGCCAGACTCTGAGAAGTGCAGATTGGATTGCTGTGTGAGGGAGCAGGCAGCTAGGAGGATGGATGGAGTCAGCCGGGCGTAGGTAGAGGAGGGCGTTAAGCAGGAGAATGGTGATCTGAGGTGTCTTTTGAGGAATTAATCTGAAAGCAGAGGTTGGTAGTGGAAGATACTAGAGATGTGCCTGGAAGATGTGATGAAAGTTCCAGCAGCAGAGTGGGCTTAGGTAGAAAGAAGGCTCAAATGGGAGGAACCTTTCTGAAGCAGAATTTGCAGAAATGTTGACCAAATGCCTGAGTTGGGAAGATGTTGAAAACAGAATCAAAGGTAGCTTAGAATTGTTAATAGAATGTACAGTTAAGCAAAACAATGAAGAATTATAATCCTGGTATCTAGAGATAATTTTTGGGGTCTTGCCACCTAGGCACAATCCGTTTTTGTACATTGGATAATTTAATCTGTGTATCTTCTCCATGAGATAGATACTCAAAGACTCTTGATGTTTTAAAGAAAATCATATACTCATAGGTAATTTAAGTGGACTCTTCTAAGATCACAGACCTAACCAGGTCTTTCTGGCTCCAAAACTGTTTAACTATTACACTGCTTATACGTACATACCTATTCTCTCTCATAGGAATCGAAAATATACATTGGGTTGTTTTTGTTTCTTTTCACATATTGTAAACCTTTTCTATGTCAATATATAATATACCATTGCTTTCTAAACTGCTGTCTTCAGTGACTGTATAATATGCTATTTTATGGCAGTAATTAATACGTGAGGCTTTGCTAATTGATCACTGGGAAAGTGAAGTTCTTCGCAGCAAGAGGGATCAAGAAGTGTGGCTGTTTTTGTGAGAAAGTGGCTTGCCGTTACATCAGGTAGAGTATGCTAAGCATTCAGAAGGTGGATCTGGAGAGTGGGGGAGAGATTTTGACCTTGAGAGGACCCATTGAAAAGATGGTTGAAGCTGAGGGAGTAGATGAAATTTCAAAGGGAGAATGTACCAAAAGGAAATGGATGGTGGACCCTCGGAGGAAGCTGGTGTCCAGGAATAGATAGTGGAATGAGAGGCCTTATAAAGGCAGAAAGGGTTCTGTTCTCTGGTAGTTGAGGCCCTGCTTTGAGCATTGTGATTTCAATTTCAGATGTTAACATTTTTTGTTTTAGTAGCCGTTATTTGTAAAAGTCTGTACCATTTGGGAGTCCCCAGGCTATCCTCAAATGAACCCACTTAAATTGTTATTATGCTATAGACTTACAAAAATTTAAAAAGGTTATTTCAGTTGTTTACATCAGAATATTTTTAGATTGTTCTCAAAAAAGGTTTATCCGTGTTAGGCATAAAGTGCAGCGGGGCATACAGGGATGAAGAGGAAATACCGAGATGTTAAGAACTGTCTTGTGCCTGGGAGATCCACACATCTTTACATCAGCATGGTTGCTTTCGGTTAGACCAGTTCTCAATTTTCATGATCAGAGACTCATATTAGTAATAGAAGCTCGGTTTGGACTAACTTTTGTAAATGGACAATCTGTTAAAGATGAAAACTTTAAAAAGAATAATGTAATGTTATGCCCGCTAGAAACAGCCTGGAGCCAGGACTGCTGAGGAAACAGGATGTCCACTATGTTCAACTCCCTCCTCACCTCCCCACCCCAATTTCATTTGTCCCTTCATCTAAGAACATGACCGCTGACAGTTTCCTTATTTTCAGTTCCAACCATGCTTCTTAGTTCCAGTTTGTAATTACTGTGGAAGAAGGATGCCATTGTGCCCAGTTCTGCACTAATTAATATTGACTGAGGGTCAGATCAACCAACCATGGGGTAAGGCTGGGGAGTGAACTTCCCCAAAGTTTCCTCAAATAAAGCAGAGGCTACAGGACAGCCCAAATAACAGATGTCTGCCATAGGATCCTGCTGATGCCCTAAAAATACTTTGTTCTCAAGGGTCCCACAGTTTGAAAGATTTTTATCTGGTGGTCTGATCTTATTTCCTAAATATGTTATTTTTTAAATTACCATCATGGTTTATGGATGCCCTTTACACCTGTGTCAGTTGGGACTCCTGGCAGAATTATTCTTGGCAACATTTTCTACACAGGCCACCCTTCCCTCCATCAGTTTCTGGAGGAAGTTAAGCTCAAAGATACTTGAGTGACGTGAGTGCGAGATTAGAAAATGAGAGAGCTTCTTGGAACAGAAGACCTTTGAGGGCCAATGTCCTGGGGCAAGGTGGGGGTACATAACAGACTGCAATCCCCAAGATCAGCGGTTTGAAACCCCCTGCACCGCCCGCCGCGGGAGAAAGATGAGGCATTCTCCTGTCTCAGCAGCCAGCAGGGACAGCTCTGCTCTCCTCTAGGTTCCTGCATGTCAGAATGGACTCGATGACGTGAGCCTCCTTAAATCATCAGAACGATGACTAGTTTGACGTGAGACCCTCTCCTGCATTTTTGTCTGTAAACTATGAAACCGTTATTTTGGTTTCTCATCTCTGCATGAGTGGGTAGACATCCACACACAACTTTTGGGCTGTACAACTGTAATGGTTTAATGAAAACATGAATCCTTTTTGTCTAGGAGAAAAGTTTGGTTTCTGAAGACTAGCAACCCTTATTTCCCATATCTGAGACAACAAATGTTGTCTTACCATTGTCTCCATCCA